GAGCAGCCAGTATTTGCATCAGCGGAGCTCTCAGAACTACGCCAAGCCAGGCATTCAACATAATTTTACACTTACTGCCAACAGATCTGCATTGCAAGCAAATGGCAGCGAAGTCAGCTCTGAGACTGAGGGAATCCTCCCTACTAGTCGCCAGTAACAAGGGGCATTGTATGATACTCAGAAAGTTCCCGTTTCTTCCCATAACCGCGAATTTTCGCAATCCTATGGAGCTGAATCTAAATCCGGTCGTCAATATTGCCTTCCCCTCCAGAGAGGAGTGGGAAAGGCGCGTAGTGGACAAGAAAGCAGGGATAAGCTTATATACGGATGGTTCCAAACTGGATAACCGAGTAGGCGGCGGTGTCTTCTCGGCTAAACTAGATACCAAAATCGCCTTCCGGTTACCAGACCACTGCAGTGTCTTCCAAGCGGAGGTCACTGCAATTAAAGAAAGCCTTCTTGTACTAACAAGAAGTGTGATGACAACAAGAAATATATTTATATACACAGACAGCCAGGCGGCTTTGAAATCTCTGATGTCTCATAGGATTTCCTCAAAGACAGTGAAAGAATGCCATGATCTTCTAGCGGATCTGTCATCCTATTTCACGGTAAATCTGCAATGGGTCCCAGGACACAGTGACATCCCCGGGAACTGTGTAGCAGATGAACTAGCCAGAACAGGCACCACCCTACAACTAGATCCTGGTAAGAAGGACATAAATATGCCTCTGGCTACTTGTAGATACTTAATCGACAAACATGTCATTAAAATAGCCGAGTGTCAGTGGAATCAGTCCCTGAACTGCTCAACTAGCAGGCAAACGTGGCAAGAATGGAATATGAGCCGCACATGCCGACTGTTAAAATTCAAGCGGAATGATATACTTGTAAGAACTCTAGTAGGAGTACTAACAGGCCACTGTCTAATAGGCAGACATGCAAGTAGACTTGACACGCTATTGTAAAAGCTGTCAGGAAGTAGAAGAGGAGGACACCATTACACATCTTCTATGCGATGGCGCATCACTATATAGGAAAAGAATCGCAAACAACAGTCGTGGGTTTCTTAACGACGTCTCGGAGGTTGCACGGATAAAACTTGTCTCACTGATGAAGTTCATCAGAAGTACGGGGTGGTTCAGAGAGGAGCCAATAGAGTGAGGGGACCACAGTCGCAGTGGTATCACAATGGGCCTCCTAAAGGCCTAGGTGTGTCGAATGACAGCCACTTTACCTACCTACCTACCTAGCAGTTCACCAACATGGTTTCCATTAAGTGCACATCTCCACCACATCACAGCACTACCACGTAATAAACACCCAAATAGTTCCTTATATTTTTCCTTCATTTTACAGTAAACCAATCAAAAATCAATGAATTTATTAGAACAAAACTTTACCCAAATAATAACCTCAAGGAATTTCATCTTACTCCTAAATATTGTTGAAATACGAGGAAAATAGTTTTGTTATGACAAATGGGTAAAATCGGATTTATACTTCCCTTTGCCCCCCTATGCCAAATATAAATTGTTTCAAAGTTCCGGTTGACTTTATACCGCATCTATCGGTCAATATGTAAGTAATCTGAATAAAATTCAGAAATAACCTCTTTGAAATGTATCCTCTTGATAGAAATGGATGATATCAGGGCAATACTTCCTCTAGTTTAATATAATACCAACACCTGAAGGTATAAAATGTTCGGTTACATCCTTCCTTATTTGTTTAAAGTTTCAGTTTTGTAAAAATATCTTGATATGTTGTATGAGATTTCTTCGGCAATAGAAATCTGTGTTTTCAATGAGAGTCGCAACAATTCCACTAAATATAAATGTGCGATTCGGACGTATTAACAGTGTATATACATATGTACATACTTATAAATACATATCGTCACTTAAATTGCAAAACAACGTAACATCAAAAAACACATGCAATACACACTTGTATGTACATTCTTCAGATTTTTCATTTCATCTAACCTTCGGAAAAATCGACATGCGCAGGACACTCCAATTATTAAATAATCTGTGTACGTCCACATCCCTCATCAGTAATTTTCACAATATGAAACAAATCCAAATTAAACAAGTTCTAAGTTTGGGTGTAACCGAACATTTTACACTCTCGCAACTAGCTAGGATCAAAGCCCGGGAAATTACTTAAGGTGTAGGCAAAATGCTATATTAAATGAAGTATTGATACGATTCAACCCATTTTTGACACAAAGACATACTATTATCGAGAGTTTCATTTATTTATTTTATTGTATTATATGAATTTCAATTATATATCTTACACATGGACCGATATTTTCGGTAAAAAGTTAACTATAGGCACTGGGGTCCACATATTCAGTACCTAGGGGATTGAAGAGTTTGGTTCGATTTAGACAATTTTTCGTTACAAGGTGGCATACCAAAAAAGAAATATGAGAAGAATAGTATGTACCAAATTTGGTTGAAATCGGCTAAGCAGATCCCAACGTCCCTGCCCACTGTCTGATTTTGAACTCGGTTCTTATGAAGTCATTTCATACCATCCCATAGATAAAATTTAATGTCTCTGGCGTATTTAGTGCTTTATTTATCGCGCTTTTAGTAGTTTTCAACAGTACCGTTATAATGGGAGTGGGCGGGGCTGTCACCCGATTTCACCCATATCGCTTGCACAATGGACAAAAGTGACCTAACGCGCCCCAAAGATAAAAGTTCGTCACAACTTTCGGAGCAATCAAGATAATAATCTGTGTTCAAAACTATGAGGGATAAATATAATATCTAGCGAAAAATGTCAGAAGCATTTAATTCAACAACAAAGATAATGCAGTCAGCTTGAATTTGTATTTTTATATTAAAATTAGACAATAGAAGTGCAACAGAGCAACTACTAGACTAATTCTAACCAAATTTGGTGTTTAGAATTATCTTTATATCCTTCTATTATATCCAATATGTAAATAAAGCACGAATGGCTTCGGAGTTAAGCTATATAAACAGAATAACTAATCTCATCTAGAAAATAAAGTTCAATCGTAGCTATAATCCCCTTCAGAAATAAGAAAGTTTCCATACAAGGATCAAAGCCGGGAAAATACCTTCAGGTGTTGCCAAAACTTTATATTAAGAAATGTAGCGAAAATGTTCAACTTCATTGTTCGACAAATGGCGAATGGACTACAATGATATGAAGGGCTTATTGGGTTATTTTTTGACATTTCTCTATATACATAAGTATATATAGAGTAAACTCAGCCGAACGTTTCAAAATCGTGAATATCAGTTATATAGGGGCTAAGGCAAGTTTTCGCTTTTATCCATTTTGGGTACAAATGTATTAAAAAAACACGCTTTCTTAATTTCAATAACATAACTAGCACATTCAAAGCATATATGCATGAGGTATAAAGTCAACTGGAAGTTCGAAATTTTTATATTAGGCATATGGGGGCTAAGGGAAGCATTGATCCGATTGAACCCATTTTTGACACAAGGGTATATTATTATCAAGAAATAAATCTCCCTGAATTTCAATTATATATGTCACAGAATGGTCAATATTTTGGCAAAAAATCAGCCACAGGCTCTGGGGTCCACATTTTCGGTATCTGGGGCTTGAATAGTTATGGTCCGATTTTTACAAATCTTAGCCCTAAGATGACATACCTTAAAGGAAATATTAGATCAAGTAAACACTTCGTTCGGTTTTTATCTAAGAGATGGCGTTATTGTCCATAGTCCTAGTGTTACGTGTCGCATCATGTCATACTATACGGCGCAGAAAACGTGTTTATTCGCGCTAAAAGTTTGTCTTTGACAGTTTTTCGATTGATCTACTCAGTTCGTTGTAAGCGCTCGTCAATGATGGACACCAACAAAGAGAAAATTCGCTATATTTTACAATTTTTCTTCGATCAAAGCGAAAAAGCAGCCAAAGCGGCTAAAAACATTAATTTAGTTTATACTGATACCGATACTGTAAACGAACGTGTAGCACAAAAGTGATTTGCTAGGTTCCGTTCCGGTAATTTCGCAAATCGCTGCAGAATCGCAACAAAATCGACCCGTTTCTGAAGCGGATTGTGACTAGCAATGAAAAATGGGTCACTTATGACAACATCGACCGCAAACGGTCGTGGTCAAAGCTCGGGGAAGCGGCCCAGATGGTGGCCAAGACCTGATTGACGACCAGGAAGGTTTTGCTGTGTGTTTGGTGGGATGGGCAAGGAATCATCTACTGCGAGCTGCTCCCCTATGGCCAAACGCTCAATTCGGCCCTCTACTGCCAACAACTGGACCGCTTGAAGGCAGCACTCATCCACAAGAGGCCATCTTTGATCAACAGAGGCCGAATTGTGTTCCGTCAGGACAACGCCAGGCCACACACGTCTTTGGTGGCTCGCCAGAAGCGCCTGGAGCTCGGATGGGAGGTTTTAATGCACCCACCATATAGTCCGGACCTGGCGCCAAGTGATTACCATCTTTTCCTGTCCATTACCAACGCGCTTAATGGTGAGAAGTTGGCCTCAAGAGAGGCCTGTGAAAATTGGCTCTCCGAGTTTTTGGCAATAGGGATGAAGTCTTCTACGAGAAGGGTATAATGAAGTTGGCATCTCGTTGGCAACAAGTTTACGAACAAAACGGCGCATATTTGACTTAAATCGGACAAATGTACACAAAGTTGTCATCTTTTGAAAAATCAATTTCGCTTAAAGCAAAGTTCACACGGCTTATAAAAGTTTAAATTTCTGACGTGATAAATTTTATATTTTAGCAATTTTTTCCTATATTAATCCCTTCTATATACTTTCACTCCTCATATTAACTGAAGCTTAATATAAATAAGGAATATAATAAAATTTAACGTATACAAATATAACAAGATATACACATATATATATAAATAAATACTATTATACTTTATAGACAATATATTTAAAAAATTCGCATAATTAAAATATTTATAATAAGAGACGGATCTTGAAGTAAACTCACCTTTCAACTGCCTACCGAGTTGATCACAAGGGCTTTTTTCCAAAACACACATGATTTGTCTGCTAACAATAACTTGATTATTAAGAAGTTTGTTTATATTTTTGTCATCTGAGTCTGTTTCACAAGTACATATAACCAATAACAAAAAAATACATTTAAATCCGATATGTTTTGACACGTTAGTGATTTTCATTGCAAAATTAAAATTTTCAATAATGAAGAGCTGTATTCTATATGAGTATACGCAATTAAATTATGCTCTTGGTATTCAGGAACATATACTTGTCCAAAAAACATGCATATGAGGAAGTATATTTCCTCGTTTGGTCATATATACCTGTGCGCATGTGTTTCCTTCAGATATATTGAATAATTTTCAGGTATTCGGTACTCAGTTAGCAAAATTGTTATCACCTCAATGTAACTTATTTAGTTTGTCCGTTCGTTGCTCTCACTATTTATTCTAACCGTATAAATACGTTATATATGTGAAATGTTGTTACTAATTCACCCGGAAATTCAATCATCCTCGTTTGAACTTTGGAGTTTGCCAAAAATTTGGTTGAGTCAATTGATTGCTGGTTGCGATACTTTTTGATGCAATTTAATTTATTGTTTCTGTCAACAATACTTATTGTGAGTTGTTTAAATTTAGTTGTGTCACAATTCCTAGAGAAAGAATTTCTTCAATATTGGGTGGTTCGGATAAAGGTTGCCGAATTTCTGCCAATGTTTTGCTTAATAAATTAACAAAATTCATCTTAAATTTATTAAGAAAAAATATTTTTAGCTGCAATATATAAATATTATTCTTTAATTATTTCAAATATGTATTTTAAGACTGACTGCATTTCTACAATTTTTTTGTTTTGCATAGTTTTGATTACATAGTTTTTATATCTGTTAATTCACTAATTTTTCCATTTTTATTTTACTAACTAATGCTTATTTATTATTATTTTGCAAAACATTATTTATTTTATTTGAAATTATTTCATAATAGTTGTCGGGCTATGTCGACGAATGGTACAGACTCCGTTTTAAAGAAAGACGATTAGTTTTAGAGTGAACTTTATAAAATTCAAATTGTGATATATTCTGGGTTTTTTTGTTTATGTTTTTTATTTTAGTAGGGGAAGGCATTGAAAGCCGAATAGGGTACGGACTGACGGACGCCTAATCTGTTCTATATGTCTCAGTTTTGTCATGATTGAGGCTCCCGTTTCGCTGACAGCTTTCCAGTTCTCAGTGGACTGACACATGAATCTCGTCAAACTAACATCGCTCTGCTCTCTAGATCAAGCTCCAGGAGGAAGTCTTCAAAACCTATTATTGAGGCGCTGGGAGGAGCAGCTTACAAAATAGTGACATATATGGTATGTTGCTTATTATTATAGTCTATAAAAGGTTTACCTTTACATGACCATATTTCAGCTTACAAAATATATGCCACGTATGTTGCTTATTATTATAGGCTTTGGAGCAAAATATAAAAGGTTTACCTTTACATGACCATATTTCAGCCTTGCCAGATATCCCTGTGGTCCAGGTGCTTTCCGAACGCTGGGAGTACTGCTCGCTTAGTAAGGCGACATCAATATTTTTCTCAAATATTTTGTGTTTAAGCAGATCTTGTTCTGTAGCACAGTGGTTTAAATTTAGCTGCAGTATCCTCATTTTCTTAACGACTTTATCATCTCCAAATACTTGGGGAAAATCGTACTCAATACTGAGTATGCTTCTTTGCAAAACATGCAGCTTGGGTCGTTGGTTCATGACTTCGCTACATGTCCACCGGCGCCACAACGAGAGCAAAGGGACGACCTGTCTACGGTGTTGCAGCATTTGCGCGCCATGTGCCTCAGATGGAAACACCTAAAGCAACGGGGAATAGGAGAGTATTCCCGGAGGCGGCAGATAGACGTTCTTAAATTTGCCTACCTTAAGCGCAGCCTTTGATTTTTTAGTTCTAAAAGCAGGTCTCCCTTCAAGGTTTTCCTTATGTAGGTGACGCTAGTGCCCAGACCCTCTAGTCCGCTGTCACCTTTTATTTTCCGTTGGATGTCAGCGTATGATGCACCATCCTTTTTAGTGAGTATGATGGCGTCTGGCCTTGATCTGATTTTTTTTCGATCGGCCTTCTTTTCATAACAACGTCCACCTATGTTTCGTCTATACCGGGTTTAACCGTAGTATCGCCTTGAACTATTTTCGGTGCGTCGATGTAAATGGGCTGCGCTGTATTATTTACAATATATTTCTTACATATTTTGGGTTTTTTTTTGGTGGTAAAAAGCCTAAAGTCTCACGCAGCCTTTTTGGAGGTATAGTCCTTTTGGGTAGGTTTTCTCCTTTCTCAGCCTTGGCATGTAGTATCACTATGTTGCTAACTAAGTCGCGCATTGCTTGGTTTATATGCCTTTGGTCAGCCATCATACTCTCAAGTTCCTTAATCTTACCACCTAACTGGTTAGAGATCTGGGTAGTTTCACTCTTTTGTGATTTTCCAGCATTTTTGGCACATCTGGTTGCATGGTTGCAAATTTTTGCTGATCCGGCAACTCGTAATTTTAGAGTTCCTTTTAAATAGATTCTCTGGCATGCACCCACTACTATTCTCAGAGGCCATAACCTCAATGAGAAAAAAATTGGAAACATACTTACAGTCAGGTGTTTCCAACTATTTTCATTATTCAGTCACTGCCCCTTAAACCTTGATAATATTTTCGGTAGTGGGCAATGTCAAAACTAAAAAGGGAATATAAAAGGCGAAACAAATCAAGAGAACGGCTGATTGACCAAAACAAAACAGCAAAGCAAATTAAGCACACGTTTTTTTTTGGATTGGTGTTTCAGGGGAAAAACATTTTGATTTTCAGCAAAAATTTGCCACGGAAAATATACAAGTAAGTGCAAATGAATTTCAATTTAAAATTACAAATTGTATTTATGTTTTCTATAAATTGAGTGTCCGTTTGGATTGTTTCCGATTCCGAGTCACAGAGAAGAAATCAATTTAGTCGGTGTGGAAGAACTAGAAGATTTTAGAAAACCTCAGGACCGCACCAAAAACACAACCATTTCACTTGAATTCAGCAGAAGCTTATTATGGTTATAATGGTTTAAACATTTGGGTATATAAATATATGTGTGGGTGTGTGTAAACAAAGTTTGTTAATTATTTTATTTTGTGCGAATAATTCTATGTTAACTTACTTGTAAATATAGTAATCTGTTATAGTTTTGCATAATTGCTTTGATCGGGTATTTATGTTAAGTATATATACTAGGATGTGCCAAAAAAAATGTTTAATTTTTTTTTCTTAGTAGTAAAAATCTCATCCGAAATGATGAAAAAAAAATTCTGGTAAAGTTTGAGCTCTTAATATTAATATTATATTAAGAGGTGCGTCATTGATATTTTCGATTTCCCAAATAAATAACACAGGAAATTTTGTTTTTTTCTTTGGATTTTTATTGTACACAAACAAATAATTGTTAAGCGAGAATCAATACATATTCTTATAGGGAATTTACCGATCTACAAAAAAGGCCTGAAACTTTTTTTGGTTGAGTCAACTCATTTCGTAGTTTTTTATGATTTTCTGATGGACATTAACTACGAATAACTTGAGAACCTGGTATACACACTTCCTGCTCTTCTGACTGTGAGCACCCTTTTAATGGTTCACATGTGTGATCTTCCAATTGTGAGGACACCTGCGTTGACATAGGCAGGTCTTTCCACTGTGAGGACCCTTGTGCTGGTACACACGCTTCCTCCTTCCGACTGCGAGAACACTTGTGCCGGTATAGAAGCTTCTTGCTCTCCATACTGTGAGGACCCCAGTTCACACGCTTTCTCCTTTTCCAACTGTGAGGACACCTGCGCTGATATACACACGAGACACATACTATAATAATTCACCACATATATTTTTTATAGTTACATATTATAAATAACTCACCCTATATAAATTGTAACTCTCAATTGAATTCTTCTTACCGTTGCATATTTTAATTTGTCCTTCAATCCATTCTTGTGTTGGACATATAAGTGAAAAGTTCAATGTAACATATTTAAACTAGTGTACACATTTTTATAATATAAATATATATGTATATATAAGTAAAGTAAAATTGTGTTTTTCTTAAATATAATATATAACTCACGTCCAGCTTCTTCGCTGCTGACGACTGTGCTGATAAGCTCTCAAAGAACGATTCCAACGCAACACAAATAACCTCTACTGAACATTGAGTCACTTGGTTTGCCATTTCATCCCTTCACGTTTTAACTTACGTTTACGTTTGGTACAACGCTTAGAAATCATGCAAGATTATTACGCAAATTCACATTCTCCGGTGGCTACTGTAAAAGCTCTTCGGGCAAAACAAAGATGTCATAATGCTCCTTCTGAGCGCGCTATTCTACGCATAATTGAGCAATTCGAAAATTTTTATAGTCCACCTTCCCGTCAAAGAAGAGCCATTAGTGAAGAATTATCGCTGCCGCTCAGACCGGTGTTAAAGCGAATCCGAATAAGTCGGTTTAACGTCGTTCTGCACATGGTTGTTGGAAATGATGGAAGTCAACAACGATTTTTAATGGCTTCGTCAACAAACAAAATTGTGGCAATTCTTTAAATGCCGTTGCCATCAATAGCGGGCGTTATAACATGATGTTGACCGATTTTGTCCCGGAATTTGATGAAATCGACGTGGATGATCTCTATTTCCAACAAAGAAGTACATCGCCTTATTCACGTCTAAACATGGACAGAATGCGTACAAACTTTGGCAACTCGTTATTTCAAAAAATGGCTCAGTCAAATGGCTGCGAAGATCATGTGATTTAACATCTTTAGATTATTTTCTCTGATTCTTTCAGTTTGTTTGTACAGTATACAAACTTTGCACAAGTAGTCAAAAAATTGCCGAAATCGGACTCTACATATATTTTTAAAGGCCCAGACAATAAGTATGTGGCTGACTTTTTACCTAACATATCGGCCAATCTGTGAGGTCTAATATTAATATTCGGGGAGAATATTTTTCCGATGACAGCATACCCTTGTGACAAAAATTTATAAAAAATACTTTCCTCAGCCCCCATATACCTAATATAAATATTTCGACGGGGTCGGACCATAGGGAAAAGGGTGTTAGATGAGTGGGGTTCTTTGGGTGGTGGTTTGACTCGTAGTACGCCATTCACAGAGAGGGAGTCGTGAACAAGGTGCAGGTTGCACAGCCGTTGAGGCAGATGTCGCAGTATAGCGTTTACAGCATGGGGCCACGTAACTCGTGGTCCACTCCCTGTGTGTCTTAAGGCCTGAGCAGGTCTTAAGATGGCTCCATCCATTACATGTATTGCACCTAACGACATGACGACAAAATTAACCTAGAACTTACCGATCCAAACAGAGTTAGATCGCCGAAATAACAGCCCTTGGCCGGATAAAATCCGGGTCAATTCCGGTAACGTATAACCGGCTGTTTTGGGAATTGACTCGAGCTCTTCGTTTGCAATGGGCTGTGCTTTGACTCTACTCGCCATTCACTGGGACTGTGAATGACCTTCAGTGCATGTCCGAAGTTATCGTAGTTGCGACCGTAGTCTGGTGAGCGGGTTGTTAGCTGTCTTAATGAAATTGAGAA